TACTATATGGCTTTTGAAAACATTGGTATGACAGCATTTGAACATTTAAAACCATCTTAAGTTGGAAAAAGGCAAAGGCCATGACAGTGTATTCAGAACCCATACTAGCACTGAATATTCTGACCTGTATTTTCTTGAGAAAGAGCTGAATGTGCTTTCCAGGAAACGTCTGGCCTCATGTATATCACACATAAAGCCCTGTGCTGTTGAGACGTCCTCTGGGGTGAAATGTCTGCCAGCTCCATAAGGAACATGCAGATGTGGGCTTATACTGTTGAAGGGAGGGAGTGAGGGAGATGGTGGTGATTTATTTCTCGTGTGTTTCAGTTAGTTTTGGTTGATGTGAACTGCAGTCTCCATTTTCCATTTGCCTTTCTTGCTATTTAATCTTTCATTTGCTTGTCCTTGTAAGTCCATTTTCCATTACTCACTTCAAGATTTTTTTTTCTCAGACCAAACCGGCCTTTATTACAAACTTTGGGTCTTAATTGCAAAGTCGGCATTGATCTTGTATTTTAAAGCTTAATCCCCAAAGTCCCTCAAAATAATACAATTAGATACTTGAAAAGTATATAAGTGTCTCTGCCTTTTGAACTCAAAGTAATGAATCTTGAAAAAGGAATGCTGACCTAATTTATATTCCCTGCCAAGTGTTACCTTGCAACCCAAAAGTGACATTACTCAACAGTTAAGAACAGTCCAAATTCCTCTGTTTTCATTATACTTTGCAAGTCTACCGTATAGTGTCCATAGACTGTTTTCTGACTCAAAAAGGTCTTTGTCTCGCTAATTACAGAGGCAGCTGTACAGACCTCAACCAGAGGCCGGGAGTTAAAGCACTGTCAAAACCAATGGGGAAACCTGTGGCTGAGGCAGATGCTTTTCACCACATTTCCAGCTGGACTGAAAAAGCAAAACTTTATAAAAGGACAATTGCTAAAAGTTAAGAATTCAAAAAACAAACATTTGAAGTTTTTCATGTTTTGTTTTTCATTACCTACGCCAAAAGCACTTCAAATGTACCTCTTCTGCAGAGCTTTAGCATCATCTTTGATAGCTAGAGAAACTTTCAACTGATGCCAAGCCACACTGTAAATTCTTTGTTTATATTAAACAGATTTGCCACAAACATTTAAAAGACAGCACCCACAGTAAAAAATATCTTATATACTATACGGTACCATTAAGCCTGAAAGCTAAGCTTTATTATATCATTCCAATTACAGCATCTGTCATAATTTGTCAGATGTTCATGTACCCTAACCCTACCACCGAAGCAAGTGTTTAGCTTGAAATATTTCAGTTTCTAAGCCGTCTAATCCCACCCATCTCGAGCAACATCACATCATCCTCCAAAAATGCCTGGCTGAAGAGGAATGTTCTGTAGCAGGCTGCCTGGCTGGCTGTCCAGGCTGACCAGCTGGCTAACTGGGAGTCATTCTCAGGGAGTCGTGAACTTTTGTCCCGCCACTGCTCCCCTGCTTGCTGCACCCACCAGAGAACTTGGGCGACACCAAACAGGAAGCGCTCAACAAGTGGAAGCTATGGATGTTTATCTCACGCCATTCATCAAGCCCGAAAACCAGACAGAGAAGTCAGGACCCGACCAGTGAAACAAGGCTGGCCTGACTTGGAGTTGCATGAGGCTATGAGTGGCTGTCAATGGGCCATCATGGGTTAGATCTGGACTGGATGGTACCCGACTGGGAGGGTCTCCACCACCCACTGGCTGGCTCCATTCATCCTTTCTCACAGTCTTCAAGGAGCCTTGCTTTGACTTGATACCCTCGTGCCTAGTGGTGACACTAAAACAGTCATATTTTAGAGTATTCGGTAAATTGCGGCACTCGAAACCACAATAACTTCTCTAAATGACTGAGACTGAACATGTCAAGATCAGGTTGCCCTGGACTATCGTTGACTTTAACCACTACTGTTGCTGAATGTGGTCCAAAACCACTACTATCAAAATGCTCCCCAGATCAGCACAGAGTAGAGAGAGAAAGCAAATCTATCCTTTGGATGCTGGCCAAGTCATGTGGTCGAATCTTTAGCAGGAAGAGGAATGAGCCATACAAAATCTATACAATATACAGCTATTATAACAGAGTGCATGACTCCCTGTCAAACAATGAGAGCGATTCAAAAGTAAAGAGTTCAGGAATGATGTGAAATGTCAACTTTAAAGCTATTACACATTATATACTGTGAAAGGGAGCACATGCATCTGGAATCATTTTCCAGCTGTTCAACTGCATACAGAGTGCTTCTGCTATAACGTAAGGGATTTGGGGGGTGGAGTGAATTTGTTTGTGTTTAAATGCTAAAGCAGTATAGAATACTGCCAAATTAGACGATTGTAGTGGAAATCCAGTATTTAACCCCTTATGTCACCAATAAATTAAGCGTTGCCATTTTCAAAGATTCCCAGACTGGTAGAAGTCGAGGTCATCTGGGTTCTTACAGGGAATAGCCCAGAGCAGTTAAAAGACGCAGTTGGGGAACTCCAACTTTTAAAATGCCGAAGAGAAATCTGAGATGCCACAAAATAAGCTACTGAGAAAAACTGAGTTTAGATTCTTGGCTTGCTTGCAGACTGACCTAGACCCAGATAATCTGCAATTTGATGAACTAACTGCTCAACCACAAGGTCTTACGCTTCCAAGATATCCATCTGGCTGATATCATGGTTCACATACAACGAAATCCCCTCTCTGGAAGTTCACTGACACAGCAGAAAAACTTGACAATGACTGGACAGATTTAAAGTCAGGATAAGCATCCCTGTTTGTTGGATGGCTGAGTGGTGAGTCACTTTTTTTGTGAAACAGGCCAGCTCTCAGCGGAGGAAACAGCAGCACCAAGAGGGGGAATACACCATCCAAAATCTGTCTTCATGCAGATATCCCCCCATGAAGACAGAAACGTTTTCCTGTCTCCCCTCTGCTGACAGACACCTGAGGTTCTGCTGACTGGAGAGACATCCTGGGACGACTGTCAACGGCTAAGCCAGGGTCAGAGATCCTCAGCTGTAAAAGTTGGCCAGGATGAGCAGACTTTGTAAGAGGCTCACCATTGTCATGCATATTTTAGAGCAGGGATGGACTGGAGGGAGTAGAAGGCCCACAGTCATATTTTCCATTAATATTAAAGCCATATGGCTGAGTTTCATGGAATAGTTTAGGCAGTACACTATGTTTGGCAGTGTTTAATAGAAGAAATACACAATAATGAGGATGAACAGGCTGAATGTGTTCAGTGGTAATAATGTACAGTATAAAATGAGGAAAAGAGGTATGATATGTTCAGATATTTATTGTATACATCCTAGACAGTAACCTGCTTTTTATTATTTTATAAGAATACATGTGTTAAGATGAATGAATGTGATATGAAATGATATAAAGTAAGGGGATTCAACAGAAGCAAATGGCAGATGGCAGATGATCAGAATCCACAATGAATGAACTGCAGTCATTTTTTTAAAAGGTTGTCTTCAAAGCTTTTTTTTTTTTGGTATTCCCACCCTTTCCTGTTACAGATGTTTGCCACTACGCCAATATGTTACAAGATCCATGTAAATATGCGCAGTGATGAGATTTTCTGCTCTGCGGACCAGAACTGTTCATAACTAGCAAGTGAGAATCAGCAGACCTCGTAAAGAACAACAACATTACCAAGCTCCTCTGGAATGTCAACTTGGACAACATGGAACCAGAGGACACAGGCGCAATACAAATAGCTCCCTCACTATCTTCCTCTTGTTTGTTTCCCATTTGTTTTTTCCTTATTTCCATTAACTGCATCTCTCGCACAAATATAGCTCTGTCTGACCTCAATGTTCAGATCCTGGTGGCTGATGAAAGTGCTCCGTATAATCATCTTTGTGTTTAGTCAATGATAATTACGGACACAAATGGAGTAATCATCATTATACACAAGAGGTTTACAAAAAAACAGCAAGTTGCAGATGCACACAGGAGCCATTTCATTATTCAAGCAGGCTTTGCTCACTATTAATCCCACACACCATGCTGAACACATCTACTGTATGTGCTTAAAGAAGTTCATTTCTGAGGAAAAACTGGCCTATGTCAACAATATTCTTAAGTGAATGAATAAAAACAGATTTGGTTAACTCTATCTGCGTCGCAGTAATTTAATTACTTTCTGTTAAAATTAACAAATGATTATTGCCAGGCCCAGTGATTTACTTGTTCGGCTATTTTGCAGTTGTAGTTTTCTATCTACATTTTATGACCTAGAAAACCATGAAATCTGTGGTCTTATTCTTTCAACGAAAACAAGCATGAACCGCTAAATTAAAGCTGGCGCCGTTGATTGGCACTGACATTATTCTCATGCAACGTAATATGAGATGGCAAATGGCAGAGAATAATGCAGCCAATACTCGTGTGAAAAGCTACTTCTTTGTGCTGAGGCCACACTTCAGTGTCATTTTAACACATTAACAATGTCATGGAAAATAAAGTAGGAACCGACATCACACAGGCAGAGAAAAACCACAGAGTCGTTTTTTTTTTTTGTTGTTGTGTGCGTGTGTGATCATAAGCTCATGCTCATGTGCATGCACCGCGTTAGTCCAGCAACATTATACCACAATGTAAATAACTGGTGCTACTTGATGGTGCCCTGAAACTGGAGGAGCACCAGTGCTGTTGTGTGCATGCTTCTGCGGTGTTTGACTCATTTGAGGGCACGCGGCCCAGAACTTTGGAAAACAAAACCAAAACAGATGAATATGGTAGAAGATGGTGAAACACATGTTGGTGCATCATATTGGCCCTCTGCTACCTTTGGCATAACTGCTACAGTTTGAAAGCAAGCTAATGCAGTAGTGTAACGTGTTTGTGGAAAACATTTCCCTTCAAAGGACACAAAACAATTATGAGAGATATCCTTTTGAACTTAAAATCAATTAAAATGGAAATCAAACTTTTTTTTTTTTTAACAGTGCACGACAGAGACGAGACTCTTACCTTCTGATCCACGATGGAGCACACCAGGTCTTTGACAGAGGACAGCGACAAGTCACTGGGCTCCAGGTTCACAGTCTCTCTGGTCAGTCCTATCTGCAGCAGGAAGGACACCCCATGGAACGAGCTGCGGGAGTTTGTGGGGCTGGGGACGCTGTGACTGCCGTTGGACAGCCGTGTGTAAAGCGGTCCAGGCGGGCTCGTCGAGGATGGGTGGTGCGGATGGAGAGAGTGAAGGAAGGCTCGAGGTAAAGATGGGGGAGAGTAGGCAGACATTGGGTTTCTTCCAATGGCAACGTGAAATGCTGAATGTGGAGGTTTTTTTTTTAGTGAAGGCTGGTGGGGAGAAAATCAGATTGAGATCTCTGTAGATAAACGCTCCGAAGGGCGATCTTTGGTCCTCGTCAGGCGTAGTGAGTCAGCAGTTTATTTTTGATCAAATTAACATTGCTTTCATAAATTAGGAGGATAGTAGCCAATCCAGCTGACAAAACAAACGCTGACTCTCAAGACTGGCAGGTGATGGATCGAAAGTCTCCAAACAATCCGCAGACTTCACTGCAACAAACTTCATATCCCGGATTGGTGCTTCTTCTCCTTTCTGAGGTCAGTAATCCACTCCGACCACAGGAAGCCTGTCACCACAAACACACACAAAGAGAAACACATAGTCCACTGCTTTTATTTTGTTACGATGAAATAAGTAATACTATTCACCTTTGTGAGAAAATAAGCTCTGGTGGGTCATAGCGCTCATTTTGTTGTTTCCGAGGGGCGGAAACAGTTTTCTTCTAGTTTTGAACATATTTTATATATTTTTTTCTCTGAAATGAATAAAATCCTGTCTCAGCCATCCTCCTTTTGCAATAAACACACTCAAAAAAACTGTTCAACCACCCACATACAGTAGGCTATATTAAAAAAGAATGCATCAAGTTTTAAATTAAAACCATCACATCTTCATCCAATATATAGCATATACATTCCCTGAAACGTGAAATGAATGTCCACAGAGAGCATCCCTTAGGTTTATACTTGAGTTGCCTTTGTTTTGTTTCTCTGAGTTAGCTTGAAGCTAACCCATGCAGCCTTTGACCGTCCAGCAGGAGCCACAGCCTAAAAGTTGGTGCACTGTGTCACTTTGTTTTGTACTTTTTTTTTTTCTCTTGGCCCTTTTTGACAACTTACACGTCACTTTTGCAACACCATTGGCCAGTGTGGTCGTTCGGACAACATTAAAATAAAAGTCCCCCAAAAAAAAAACACGTAAAAGTTGTTCAAGCGTATCATTTCTGTTTACAAGAATTCAACCTCCACAAACATCTGGAACCAGGGCTTCTGAACATCTGCACCCCTCCCACTTAAGACTGGCTTGCTGGCAGAATACAACCCGATTTAAGAATGCCAGCAAAACAAGTTATACAAGAGCCGAATTAATACATTCAGATGAGACTTTGCTGTACTTTAAACTGCAGCTTCACATCATGCCTGTTTAATCCAAACGTGGCTGAACACACTCTCTGTAATACTTTACCTTTACAGTCAGCGAAGGGCGCTTTTCTTTCCATTGTGAGCAGACTGGAGAAACTTTGCAACTCCATCAACTGAGGAAAGCGGAGTCTGAAGTGTATTATTCCGCACTTCGTTGCACAAAGACGTCCCGTCGTTTCCCTCATCGAACTTACAACTTCACTTTCACATACAGACTTACCCTGCGGTCCATTTATGTTCTGTTATCTTTTATTCCAGATTGTAAATTCATGCGCATCTTATTATCCTTCCAGCTGTGACTACTCCCCCCTGCTCGTTGAAGGAAAAAAAAAAAGAGCAGCGACAGTGTGCTGGGGCTTGGAGTCTTTTTATTATCTCTGCATAGCTGAGTTTCCATGTGTGGAGAGCAAAACTTGAACTACAGTCTCTGTGAGACAATGGCGCCTCCGATGGAGCCTAAACCAATGCGCATGTGCCTTTCTTTTCCGTTATTTCAACTTTACCATGCCAAAAAAAAAAAAAAAAAACTTTATTCAACAACACCAGGTTCGGCTGCACACTGTATTCAAAGTCAGACCTGGGAGAGGGGGTCTTGAAGGTATCCTTATAAATCCCCGACAACATAAATCATTCTCTAGAAGTACTCTATACTTAAAAAAAACAACAAAGTAGCAGCTTGCTTTCAGATTACTACTTCCAGACTCTACTCTGCCGTTTCTCAATCCATAGACAGTTGATCAGAGATAATAAGTGTTTGCCAATGTGTGGTTTAAGACTATTATATGGTAAATGGGTTAATTTAATGCCCAAGGAGAAACTATCTTTAACATAAACTTTAAGGGCTTGAAAGAAATAAAAAAAAAAACAGGAAGAGAGACTTGATTTTGCCAGGATGCTTACATGTTATCTAACTGCCAGCTCATGTCTTTGACGACCTGATGCACTTTAGGTTGCACAACAGATTTAAGGAACTGCCCCCATTGTTATACTGACTGTGAGATTTTGCAACTCAAGTCTTAATATTCATGACAATTGACCCAAAAGGAAGACTGTCATGCACAAATTTCCCCCACGGGGGATCAATAAAGTTTATCTTTATCAGTACACAAATACACAAGAGTAAATTTACAAGGATGACTAACAGGTTGAAGAGTTTATTTATTGATTTATTTTAAAAATGTAAAAATGTGTTAATACTGAGGAAATGTGGGATCTATTTTCTTTGCCCAGGCCATGAGGCCTCCACTGATGTCTTTCACTGTGACACGGTCCATTTCTGATCCGCTTATCTTCTCCAAAACCTGCACCGCCTTCTGAGAGTCGTTCCCCAGCTTACAGATCACATACACTGGAGGGAAAACAGCAGAGGAGGGAAGAGGGAACACTTTGAAATGATTGTAGTGACACCATGTATTCTTAATGACTAAATTGCATGAGACAGATCATTTTGATAAATGATATTACAATAAGTTAAAACATGTTTATGATCCTCATAGAGCCCATATAAACAACCAAGCTTCATGAAATGCTAAGCTACAGCTCCAAAAAGCTAAATTTAGTTCAAGGAAGCACAACACAGTGAATATCCAGAACATCACCAAAATAACATATTTAATATTCATCTCTCTGAACCAGGCCAGCTGCTCAGGTTGACCAGACTTGTTTTGGAAAAGGAGTCACTTAGCAACCCCATTACAATGTGCTACTAGCTGTCCAAAACAAGCCTCCATCCAGCAGTGTGAGTGTACACGGACGACTGTGAATATGCAGGAGTGGCTCTACGTGTCTGTTCATTTCAAACAGACCTCGGGTGGTGTTTTGACATGCTACCTGAAGGCTGGCAGTCACCTGCCATCTGCTGTTTCAATTGGCTGATTTTCTCCTGAAGTAATCGGATACCGTCACTCTTCCTCTCCTCTAAACTTGAGAGGGGAATGTCTGGTTATTAGGATAAGGAACAGGATAAAGAAATGGATGAAAATGAAAAGACAGTATGGAATCATGACAAAAATGAAGCAGATGCTGTGGCCTCATCACTGAAAGGATACTGAGAGAGAAAGGTAGGTGGCATATATCCACCTCCACACGAGGGCGCACATCCAACAGGAGATGGGGCTCTGCGTTGTCCATTAAGGATTTATAATCCTGGAATAGCATCATAACAGTCTTAAATGCACGCATACTAATAGCTTAATAATTGAAGAGGTGTGGCTGTTATCCTTTGAAAGAAAAAAAACATTGAGTTATAGCTTTAGTTAAACAGGGAAACCAAAATGACCCTCAGCAAATGTTGAAATGATTCCTGTATTAGTACTTGGGGAGTAATATGAACATCTTAACTGCTTTTCCTGAAATCACAGGAAACAAAACTGTTTCTAACTGGAGCCCCTTTCACAATCTCCGTTACAGCCCAATCAATCATGATCCCCATCTCTGTGCTTAATGACTCAGCGGGTTTGAAAGCGCCAATTCTGCAGAAACATAAACAGATGCAATCCACTGCAACTTCTCTGAGTGCCAAGTAGAACATATTATTCTTTCCCATAGAAAACCTACAGGCACATTTTCTCTCATTTCCCATTTGGGGCCGGGTCAGCACTGAGATGTAATCAGTTTATGAATGCACAAGAAAACGGAGAAAATTGTGACTAATCATACAATAATCAGCACTAAACACAGGGAGTCACGCAAAGGCCAACTGTTGGAGCTTGAGTTCCCTACCTGTACAGTGATCCTCTGATCTCTGGAGAGCAGGTTGAGTTTGCGGCACTGGAACATGTAAAAAAAAAAAAAAAATCAGGCAAGGACATTTCTGAACTGTCATATTAAACGATAAAATCCTCTCATAACCCTTTGAAAATGTCTTTGAAATTCCTGTGTATCCCCATTGTATGATCTGCAGTCAGCTCAATTTTTTTTGACCAACCTTATCTGTGGCAGCAGACCCACAGAAAGCCTCATAGTCTACTAACTGGGTCACCCTGGGGTTCTCTCCACACACAGCACACCCAGCTTGCTTGGGGCGCAACTTGATGGACCTGAATCTGGCATCTTGGGCGTCAAACATCATCAGCTGCTGTCTGCAGGAAGCTGTCGCACCGGGTCAAGGAAAGGCTACTTTTTGAAATTTATCACAATGTTGCCGTATTCAAAGAACAAGCTGGCACATCATCCCTTGGTGTACGACAATCCAAAGCTTTTTGTTTGGAAAAACAATAAAAAAAAAAAAAAACTTTACAGGATGACACATTAGAGCCAGGTGTTAGCATGGGGATTACAATGTAAGACAGGCGGGCAGGATTGGGCAGAACTACTCAATGAAGCGAGTCTTAATGTCAGCGTGAGAAACGTTGCTATCAGAGCAGCTTCATAATAGTTCTCATAGGAATAACAAAAGCAGAGTCAGCAGAGTCCAGGCAGTGCAGACGGGAATATTTCTTTTTTGCTTAATTTTATCAGACAGCCACAAAAAACACCCTTACCATCCCTGACTTTGCTACTATGAAAATCATTTCAGCAGTTCTCTGTTGATTTATCCAAACGCTTTGGTGGAAAATTCTCATTGAAGAAACAAACTAGCAAAAAGGGGGAACTGTACATGTATGTATGGTGAAGAGTGTAAAATCAAAGGATACAGCCTTGTCCAGAAGCAATCTTGAGGACCTCCAGTGCCTGAAAGCAGCCCATTATCCCTGGAACTTAAAGAGAAGAAACCGGTTTTAGAACAGCTCAGTAGAAAGTTAATGGTGTCCAGGCAGGTGATGGGATAATACTTACCCACTCCTAACACCCCTCCATCAGAACAGTTGGTCACTGTCTCTGCGGGGGGAGGGACTGGGTACAGACATCTGTAGCAGGGGCCTCCACAGTAGTTATATACCGTCAACTACACAAAAACACAACCAAAGAAACATTTTAACAATAAGGTTACATGAAATTATCTAGAAAAGCTGATAAGACTCTTGCCACATTGATGCAACAAATGGCTTTTCTACCTTACCTGCCCCTCCATTCTCAGGGCACTAGCTGACACCAGAGGTTTGCCACTAAGCACACAGGCATCGTTCACCAGATAACGTGTAGGGACATTGTCTGAACAATCAGCCACAATGTCATACATGAGATCAGGAAAGTCAAGGTGTCATCACTATATGATTTCATGGGCACATTTACAAACTGTTTACAGTGGTTTTAATGCAATATAAGCATGAATGACACAAGATTGATCCATGCTTCATCTCTTTGCAGAAGGATACTGCTGAATGAGTTGCAAGGCATTCTCCGGCGAGAGCTGCAGGTGGTAGGGGATGCACTCCACTGATGAGTTTAACCTGGAGAAATAAGTACATACCTTTAGAATTTAAATGAATGGGTATTTGTAGTCACTGTTTCAAAACAAATATCATAGCTGGGGTTAGTAGTTAGAGTGAACACCACCTAAGATTAAAAGTGTGTTGCAACTACACAAGAAAAGTCCAAAACAACAAACAAATATCTTTTACAAATGATTCTTGTAGGTTTAGTAGTAGCGTGTGTGTAGTTATACACCATTAATAAATGTTTATAAATGTGTCAGCAATTTTGTGTATGAGTGTCAGCATTTCATCGCTGTCAAAAGTTATTTGTTGGTCAGAGAAATAGCGCCCTCATGTGGTCAAGGCTGTAAATATATAAGTTAACCACAGTAGCCCCACTGTGAGGGGAAAGGCACCAAAAACAGCCGTCTCTAAAATAACATGTTTACACAACATTTGTAGACCAGAAGAAAATGCACAACCAAATATAACCTGTGGTGAGACTGGAAAGCGCCAGCATCGTTATACAGCAACCAAAGGGTTACACACAAAACACACAGACTCTAGTTATCATAGTTACAGAATATTTACTAATTATATCAAAATACTAACATCTGTTTAGGCAGGAATACAGTTCTTAATTGCAGTCAATTACTGTTGTTGTTGCTGTTGACCTCGCTATATTAAGAGGAAAATGTTTTTAACCAATGTGTTCAGGCTCCAATCGGTACCTTGTAACTGCATTGGCAGCAGACAGAGCCTTAGCCTGGCCCTGGTTCTCCTCCCCATGAAGCACCTGTCTGTGCAGGTTACTGAGCTCCACCTCGTCATAGTCCAGCAGGCCCAGACGTCCTGCGGGGACACAAAGACAAACAGATTAGACATAATGACTTTTAAATGATTGTGATAACCTAATACTGGTGGCTAACACCAAGTATTAAACTCTATAACCCTGAAAGAAGATTATCATTTGCAACTACATAAGCATCTATACTTTAGCCCGATAATTTAAAGAGCCAAAGTGTAATTGGGACTGCACGGTAGTTGTGTTGCCCCACAAGAGGAGGGTCCTGGTTCGAACTTCAACCATACTGACTTCTAAAGAGAAAAATACTCTAAATTCAAAAAAGTGGTTTATAAATCAGAGTTATATACCCCTGTCTCCTTTGCCAAGTTTGCCAAGTTTTATAAATTGAAAATCATTTAAAAAAATAGCTGAAGTAAAGTATTTTGGGGGGACATGTAAAATTTTTTGTATTTACTATTTTTAATATACCAAATATATTAATTATTTTACTCAAGGACATGATGAGCATATGCAACAGGATTACCTACCAATTCCTGCGGCTGCAAGATACTGTGCCAGGGGGCATCCCAGTCCTCCACAGCCCACAACCAGTACTGAGGTTTTGGATAAGTTTAGCTGACCTATGGAGAATCAAGATGCACAAAATTGTCTTCAGTCAAGACATATATTTCACTTGCTACAAGCATACTGTACTCAACTGCATATCAGACTATCACTGTCCGTAGCCATACATACCTTGTACACCAAGCTCAGGCAGTAGGAGCTGTCTACTGTACCGCATGATGTCCTCATTGCTGAGGGTCGCTTTGGCCTTCAGGGGGGTCAGGGGTATCACTTTGTCATGCAGTTCCAATACAGAGGTAAAGCTCTGTAACACAGCAAGAGGAAATATAACTAAGTGTATGAAACATGTTGCTTTGTTAGGAAAAGACATCATTTAGACTTAAGTGTGACAAACTATTCAGATTTAATTTGGACTTTTAAATATGCCTTTTTCTGGGGTTACTGTTTTTCTCCTTTTCCAGCAAAGAATGGATCTTTGTGTTTCTGCATGTTTGCAACTGATATGTTTTGTCTCAAATCATCGAAATCTGAAAATATCAATATACATACTTTAACATTAAATGCATGCATTTGTTGTGGTCTGTAAAGTAATCAATGTCTGTATCCATATACTGCTGTTCTTCAAGTGCAGTGCTGAGGTGATTTTTTGGATGCTTACTGTATTGGCATTTGGCAACTGTTATGAAGTGGAATTATCAGGCATGTTTTCTTCAGATACTCTATACAGAACACAGATTATTTGAGCACATGAAGATGTAAATGTCCGCCTGCTTCCTGATGACTGACACTATAAGCGGCTTTTAGATCTGGAGTGTATGATCTTATTTATTTCATCTCACAATGACCTTTTCCACATCAACACAGTATGTAGGTAGAGCTTGTTCGATAGCCTGGGAACTTCTCATCAAGTGGTCTGACTGGGATAATTAAAGATTGTGTAACCGATTTGTAAATGTCATGTTACCAAGATTCATAAATCAAATTATAGTGAGCTGTACAATAACTACTAGTTTAAAATATTGTACTGGTTTGAAATGTAAGCCTACTTCTCCCAAAGACACAGCCTGCAAATATGGCACAACCCAAACTAATTTAACTGTCATTAATTGAAGGCTATCATTTATGAAAACTTTCGTACCTTTTCCAGATGTGCCAGTTTATTTTTCAGAGCAGAAATCTCCTTTTCCTTCTCCTCTAGCTGTGCTTTCAAGCAGCACACGTCTTCAGCCATGGTTGACGACAGAAAGACGCACACGCACTGAAAATTGTTTATTCAGACAGATCTTGAGACTCGGTGAAAAAGTAATAAATATTGACAGTCTACGTGTGTAACATTTTCAAATACTTGCACGAGTAGGCGACACTCGCACTCGCACTCGAGCACACGAACTTCCGCGTTGACCACGTGACAGCGAGACCACGTGGTCGGTGACGTAGCGCTGGTGTTAGTTCACAAAATAGTTCACCGGTTGATAAATATTTTACACCATGTGATGGATTTACTATTAGGAAAGCAGAAAAGCAACATTAAGGGTCTGCATCGTTATGACGTATTGTTTTTATTTATTAAAAAAAAAAAAAAAAGGGTTAGGCTACAGACATTATATGACCGGTATTATGGGTATGGCTCTGTCACGTGACCTTCATTCTATAGGTATGCATTAGATATGGTTGTCTGGGATTGATAATGACCAATCATCAATCTAAGATAAGGAGTCACTCTGTCTCCCATGGTAAGCACCACTTAACACACACACACCGCAACATACAAACCAGCACTGTGACGCGCTGGTCCTCCCATGGTCCTCCCTCCTCCTGCTCTTCACATGATCTGTGAGCCTTAACCGAGGAGAGACAGGAATGTTGAGAGACGCGTCAACACCGGCGGCTGAGCGGAGCCACGATCTCTCCATAATGCGTTTACTTTACTCTGTGGCGATCTGGCTGACAATCATCCACTGCACCAATGGAATTCCCTGGACACAAGAGAAGGTCAGTTCATCAAGATGATCTCATTACGTTACATGTTGTGAAAATATAACCAACCAGTCATAATTGCATGTTCACATGCGACGACCAGTCTGTAGAAAGGAAGCGACTTACAAAACAAACAAAAAAACCCTTGCCACATGTTTGTATACAATTGAGTTGCTTATTAATTAGCCCACTGGGTTCAATTGAATGCTTGCAATAATGAATGTATCTTTACTGAAACTTATTCTATTGTCTCAAAGCACCCAACATCTTGATTTTTTAGTTAGGACACTTTTATTTACATGAAAAAAACAATAATTTCAAATTAGTTCATACTGTGTCTTCTTTATTCAGGTGTTTTCCTTTTAAATGATTATTGGTACTTCCTATGGTAGTGAATGAAAGGGAAACTAAAAGCTCTCAAATTCAGTTTGGACATTCATAACCTTTTCAGTTCCTGTTCCTTGACACTGTTGTGCAACTCTCCCGAGATGCACCTAGGTAAACCTGGCCATTTATGTCCCTCATCTATGTTGTTCTTCCCCTCTCCTCTTTGCCTAGTTGCTATGGCAGCACAGCCATCCTCATTGATCCTCCAATTGCAAGTCTTGGTATTTATAGACCTTAAATGGACCCCCTTTTAACCCTCTGTGAGCCTGGTGCACCCCAGCTCTTTGGATGACTACTCAGTCTGGTTTACCACATGATTATACCTTTTGTGCTGTACACTGGCTCTCTTTGATTACAGGGCTGACAAGCCAGTGACTCAGTGTGGCCTGACCTATACTATGAACCGGTTTTTCGAGTAAACATTCTTCTGATGAGGTTGATTTAAACTACACAACAAGCAAAGCATTACAAAAAGATGCACACTTATCAAATGATATGATTTGTTGAACTGTGATAGATGTTTGGGGTTTCGGATTCAAACAAAACTATGAAGAAGTTTGGATTCCGTAACTCTAGTATGCCTCTAATTTCCATTAAATCCATGGCCTATAATTGGAGAGCTTGATCAGTGTAATACATAGACTATACAAAGACAGTGCTCTGATATTCTCTTACACCCTGGTTACTTTCTCTCTGTTCAGTTTGTTACCAGGACAACTATGGTTCTCTGCAGGTGAACTTTGAGACCAAATGAAAAGGACACATGGGATCAAGGGGAATCAATATGTTTTCTTAACCCGGGACTGTAATTTAGCAAGCGAGAATCAATCCTCATAGTCTGAAACCAGAATCCGAAACCATTCTGTCGTCCTTAAATTGTTAACTGGTTGATGTGCAAGGCATGTTAATGGGCACACTAGATCCCTGCTTTTCTAAAGGAAAGCTTGTGTGTATTTGAATCCATTCAATCAATATCTATTCATACAGGTCTAATTGGCTCTTGTGTTTCTCTGAGGAAGCGTGACAGTGAAATTCACAGCTTGTCTGAAACACAATGTCTGATAATATGACACTTAAACAACCGTCACTTTCTGTGTTAGCATTTTCTATGGGGTTTTAGACATGGCTGGATATTACAGTAAGACACTTTAGAATTCCTTTAAGGATGGATTTTCTGTTCTGATCTCATTCAGAACTTAACAAAAAATGGATTTTTTTCCACTGTTGTAAGATTGAATGACTGTTTCCCCTTCTGCCATGTGTCATCCACAACATTGCTCAATTTGCTAACGTCATAGCAAGACTTCCCCTCCTGTGTCAGGGCCAGCCTGACTGAAAGTAGGAGCAATTGACCTGATATAATATATAATATTCTATGTTTGCAACACTTCAGTTACTATTAGCCTCAGATCTGATCACTGACCTGATGTTTATTTGTGTTTATTTGATAGAAACTGATATATACTTGTCATTAAATTACCACATGATGCTATTTCCCATCTAAATTGTGTTATCTTGGTTTGCTTCCTCTGGTTCTGTTCAGCTCTATCACAGAGCTCTCACTCTAACACAAGATGAAGTCCGCACAGCCCTGTCTCACACTGACCTGGAGCAGATGTGGCAGAGGGACCTGAGGCCACTGCTGGTTACCAGGTACCCAGGCTCTGCAGGCAGCCAGGCTGTGCAGGAGGTGAGTTTATATGCCAGGTAAAGTGTCATGGCAAGATGACTTTCAAATTTCAGAAACACTCTTTCAGAGATGATCCCACCCAGGAAAAATGCAATGTCATGATGCAAAACAATGTGAAAAATTATGCAATCAATATGCCAAAATCCTCTTTCTTGTTGCTAATGGGAAATACTACTCTTGTGGCCACATTATAGCAATTAGATGCATGAAAATAAATCTCACTGGTTTACTTGTCAGGAAGTCCTTCACACTTTTTTTTTCTTTAGAAGTTTAATTGCCACAAACGTAAGTACGCTTATAATTAAGGATGATTAGGAAAGCTACATCATAAAAGCTCTTTATCAACTGTTTATCTTTGTGTCTAAAAAATCAGTCAGACAACTGCAGCTGAGCCAGAACGCTGCTGATCGAGTCCTCACCAAACCCAAGAAAATGGATCACATCAGTCCAGTTCTGAGTTCTTTACACTGGCTCCCAGTCTGTCAGAGAATAGATTTAAAAATCCTGCTGCTGGTTTATAAAGCACTTGATGGTTTAGGGCCAAAATACATTAGTGACCTCCTGATTAATTACAAACCATCCAGACCGCTCAGATTGTCTGGGACAGGTCTGCTCTCTGTCCCCAGAGTCAGAACCAAACACGGAGAAGCAGCGTTCAGTTTCTATGCTCCTTATATCTGGAACAAACTCCCAGAAAACTGCAGGTCTGCTGAAACTCTCAGCTCTTTTAAATCCAGGTTGAAGACACACCTGTTTGCAGCTGCCTTTCATTAAACAGCTTTAATTAGATTTTAAACTTTCACTCTACACTGTAATTATTATTATTTTTTAAACTCTTTTAATTTCTTTACTTTTGTTTTTATTTTTTATTTAAATTAATTTAATTTAAATTATTTTTATTTGAACATATTTTCAGATTTAATCATTTCAGTGATTTTTTAATTTTCTATTTTAATGTTTCTTTTCTTTCCTCTGTCATGATGCTTTTGATGTCTTGTGTGAAGCACTATGAATTGCCTTGTTGTTGAAATGTGCTATATAAATAAACTTGCCTCGCCTTGTTCACAGCATATCAAAACAACACTCAGTTCCCTCGGAGCAGGCTGGGAAGTAACGGAGGATAAGTTTATGTCACAAACACCCTATGGCTCCCTTCCCTTCACTAACATAATTGGCACCCTCAACCCATCAGCCAAGCGCCGTCTGGTCCTGGCCTGCCACTATGACTCCAAGTATTACCCTCCACAGTGGCATGGGATGGAGTTCCAAGGTGCTACTGACTCGGCTGTACCCTGTGCCATGATGTTGGAGCTGGCACGAGCCCTGGATGAAGAACTGACAGCTCAGAAGGTGATGATCCAATTATAAAAAAATATCATACTCTAAATCATCTGTTGTATTAACATAGAAAAAAATGGTTGAGAACTACTACTTTAAAGGGTAAATTGCACAATACTGCTCAATCTGTAGGAGGCTGAAGTAAGCTTTTCAAGGATGACCGAGACTGTCGTAACATTGTATTTAGCTTTTGTAGTTCTGGCTAGCACAGACGTGTTGTGGTCATGAGTCACAGGGACGTCAAACAGCAACAACATCAATGGCAGTAAACCTCAGGAAGAATAAGACAAAACAAAGAAAATACATAGTCATTAGTCCATCTCTGAATATTTTATACTGTATTTCCTGTCCATGGCACAGTGATGATGTTGAACCTTTTTTTTGTCAGTGTGATTTTAACACATTTCTATGCCCCTTTAAGACGACAGTTAAGACATAGTGGTGCATTGATTACGGCCTACTTTTAGCTGCAGATTGAAACGTCTTTGTGGTATCTGCCCTACAATCATCTGTGTTCCCAAAGGTGACAGCAATGAAGGGTTGACATGTTTTTTTAACAAACATAGAGCTCTATGGCAGGTAAACATTCTGTCTCAGGCATCAGCTTCACGTAAAAAACACGTACGATTTTTTTGTTTTGCTAAAAAGGACACAAATGTTAAATTTGCAAAATATAAGTGGTTTTAATTATTTCTGTTCAAGCACAAAATAAACACGAAATCATTGTCTCCTGCCCAGGGACTGCAGATGTAACTTAGCTCATAGCTAACTCTGGCACAGCTAATTTGCTGAACACTGCCCCTGTCAAAATAAACAAATAAAATAAAGTAATAAATCATTCTCAGAACAAATGCTATCATTGTTGCTTCTATTTTATAAGAATTAACACAACTATGACAACAACAATGGTGATTTTGTCCACCATGGTTTATAAAAAAAAACAAAAAAAACATTTAGTATTCATGTAGCTTGCTCCTCTGGCCTTCTCCTGTTTCACAGTTGAGCTCAGACTCCTGTCTAGTGGGTAGACAACATCAATGCCTGTGACAGGGAGAGATCAGCCAGGGGACATGTTTATCAGACTCAGCTGTCTGTCACAAAGGTCATTGTGGGAATAGATGACACATTGAATACAAAAACATCAACTGCCAATGAGGCATATAGATTCTAAGTATTCTAGTTGATACAATTGAGGATTTGTAGAAAATGTAATTTCCCCAAGACAGAATTGTATTTTTTTATAACTGTGTGAAACTAAATAATTAACTGCCATGTTTTGTTAAAAACAAACGCATTTGCGTCACTGTAATCTCAGAACCACTAGGTGGCAGCAGAACTCTGGAAATGCAAAACTGCTGTGGCACATATCTTTGTTTTCTTTACCTCCCATGTAGAGCTCTAGTCCTGACCTGACGCTGCAGTTGCTCTTCTTTGATGGCGAGGAGGCTCTTTTCCAGTGGACAGACTCAGACTCCCTGTACGGCTCTCGCCACCTGGCCCAGAAGATGGAGAGCACCCCTCATCCCCCTGGAGCCACAGACACCAACCAACTCCACGGCATGGTACATCACAGTTTACTCATTCTTCTCTCCCTAAACCACCTGAGATTAGCATAGTCGCATGATGACAGTCAAGATCATCCCTTCGTTAGCCAGTATCATCTTCAGTACAATCTCCTTAACCCTGATCTCTCTTACACACACGGACCACACAGAGACTGAAGCGAGGAAGATGAATGTCTTAAATAGTTTTGTATTTCAAATAAATCTTAAAGCCAAATATTTGATAATCTGGGAGGTTTGGGTGTCTTGATATCAAACACCATTTGTTATACCTTCTCGATAACAAGACACCACATTAATTGATTTAGGTTTGTATGTATCCTAGCTTTGGAGAGACAGTGTTACAGTTTAACCACAAATTCAGACATTCCTGAGTGGACAGTGAGAGATAAGGCAGGCTGTATCTTGAAGAAGCTAGAGTGTGTGGTTGATGCTTTGATGTCAGTGGGTTGCACCACGACAGACTCAGTGCAGTGAGTTTCTCATGAGACCCTCCTTACCCGTCCCCTGTTTTTTGTTTCTTCTCCAGGATCTGTTTGTGTTATTGGACCTGATCGGGGCCCCTAGCCCACGCTTTGGAAATCAGTTCCCCAACACAGTTCACTGGCTCACCAGACTGCAGAACATTGGTGAATAATCAAATGTTTACTGATTCTGTTGACCTTTAATGGATGCCTGAGTGGCGTTCCAAACATTTGTTATTAGAGGTAAATTTGTATACTGTGTTAATACAACAGATATTATTATATATAAGATTATGTTTCTTCAAACTACAGTATAGTGCTGTAAAGAAATGGCCAAAAAACAATGTCTGAATAGCTTTTTCTCAATCTGCAAACATTGTTTTCCTGTCTTGATTAGAAACATTTTGGCTATCATTCATTCATTCATTTTTTGATTATTTATGTTCTGATCAATCCCTTTTTTTCCCCTACTTTTTATTATATTTTGATTTGTTTCTTATTTGAGGTAATATCACGTGCTTTGTGCAACAGTAAGGATTCCTGTCTGATGAAGGGCGAGGGCCCGAAACGTTACATGTGATATTCCATTCAATTCTATTTCATTGTAGCAGCTTCTGGTGTGCGGACTCAGTACTTTTTCTATGTTTGGAAGCTCTTTGTCCAGCACCCAGTACTTAAACTTTCCCAGATGTGCGTGCCTTTTTGACATTTTTGTAGCAACAGTTAGGATTCACCATGATTGGAATGTAAATGTGATGACAGTTTTTGGGTTATTTGCTTATGTTGCCAGCACTTGTGTTAACCATTAATTGGACTACGTGAAGAAGTAAATTAATATATTCGTAAATGATGAATTACTTAAACTTAACGTTTTTTTAGATCTGAAATAACAGGTGTAGTTTTCCCGTCTTTGTCCTCTGCCTTATATCCTCAGAAAGGCGTTTACACTCCATGAACCAGCTTGTGGATCATCCTGACAGCGTGGAATATTTCTGGCCTAATCGACCTGTTGGCACCATACAAGATGACCATGTACCATTCCTAAACAGAAGTATGCATGACAGGAAACACAGCTATGACACTCATGATCGATTACATACCTTGCTTTGTACTATTAGATGATGCTCATCATGTGCTTTTCTGTCAGGTGTACATATCCTCCACCTTATCCCCTACCCCTTCCCATCCGTTTGGCACAAGTTTAATGACAACGAGCAGAACCTGGACCATTCCACCATTCTGAACCTCAACAAGATCCTGCAGGTTTTTGTTCTGGAGTACCTCAATGCCAGACCCACTGTTGCTTCAAACCCACAGAATGCCCCATAGAGGAAAAACAACAGCGTTCTTTTGCTGTTTCAATGGAAATTATTCCAGTTCAAGTTTTATAGACTAAATGGATACGCTGTATTTGAAGCTTCCAAAACACACATATTTTCTTGACCATATACCTGAGTTGTAAAGTTCAGATATCAGATTTATGCCAACTGTAGGGAAAAAGGTGTACATGTTTACAGTATGTTAATGCTTTGGATACAGGTTGCTTGCATAACTGAATGTTAAATTAATAAAAGACTTGGATACTCAGAGCCTTAGTCCTAAGTCTGCTGCAGCAAACATGGGCCACAGAATCGAATGTGTGTCTTTAGACTACACTGCTCTCTTTATGTCCACCTTAAACCTTCATTTACACTGTGAGGAAGCATCTTAGTGTCCATACAAAAGTCTAGAATCCAGAGCCGCAAAGAGATGGTAGCATTGTGGAGATGAAAAATTAATGTGAGTCTTAAATGCCATGACATTTTATTTTTCACAAAATTCCAAAGCAACTTTAAAATACTTTTGTATCTAGTACAAGTTCAATGTTGCCAATAGTTCCATTATGTATTGCTCTGGTATGTATCAGCTGTAGCCAACTCATGCTTACATACATGTTATGACATCCCTAATCTGTTTTAATGTGTGATACTATATGTATACAATAGATTGCTTTTCACATGAGGGTCACTAGATAATGATGCAAAGTATATGGCTGAGATTTTTTTCCCCACTGTGTGTTTTAATTACGAGTTAAGAGTATGCAATATTTCCTCCTCCGTAGAAAATCTGTTCAGTGTTTATAGAGCAAACTTGTCAGCTACATGTAGTGAGTTTATTTGAACACTTACTACATCGTCATCCCTTCATATCCTGACATCTTAGAGAGTGGAGTGGATAACTTCCTGTGCTTGTGTGCCTGTCTTTGTTTGTATGACTTTGTAAGTCTGATATTTAAGGTAGATTCCAGAATAATATACAGTGCCAAAACTGGACTTCCTGTATTATGAGGCTAAAATAAATGATCATGCAGAGTTTGCTTATCTTCTCATTCTTTGTGTTACTGTGGATACACATGTTGGTCTTACTCTAAAGCTTTGGCTTTGTGGTTATTGAAGTTGATGAGGAAGTGTGAACGATTTTCTGTTATTCTAACCTTTAAAAAAAAGCCAAGAATAGCCAATAACTTTCTTCCACTTTTGCATTCCCCCCCCCCCGCTCACTTCCTCAACAGACCAAACACCCCTTTCATCCCTCCGCTTCACCTCGACAACAATCCCATGATTCATTTAATCCTATCAGGGAGGACCTCCCCTGAATTCCTCACCACCCAAAATCCCTTTCAATTTAGCCCACTCCCATGAGAACTGAACGGGGGCTCTGGCTCTCCCGTGAGCTGCAATCTGAAATGTTTGTGATGCCTGGCAACAAAGAACACCAACATTTGATGTATCTTATCTTGAAGAAGATTGTAAATTGAGGCCACTGTGTAAATTCTGGAGAGCTGTTTTTCACCAGAATCTGCAGTGGGTTATATCTTTAACCTTGAAATATGTGTTTCTGGCATTGATTAATTTGTAAAAGGGTTGTTTTTGTCAGCTTGGTGTTCATTTCATTTCATTTTTTTTTTATTCATCACCATAATTAGTTGAGTGTGTAAAGAAAATATCTAACAACAATTCAGATTACAGCTTCACAAAGACAGAGAGACAACTCAAAAATGTCCTAAAGTCAGCATCTCTAAACATGCATGGAAGCCATTCTATTCCAGTGTCTGTTGATTTTCAACACAGGCACCAACTCATTGTACTTACTAAGGGAATTAATGTGGCGATCATCTGACAAGCCATTGAACAGAGCCAAGCTGCTTGAACTTGTGTGCTGGGAGTAGCATAATGTCACCCAACATCAATGTGAAAGAGTGGTTAAGAGCATACCAAAACCCATTTAAGCTGCCATTAAAAATTAGGCTTATTCCACCAAACATTGATTTCTGAACACTTCCTTCATTTAAACATTAGCTTTCTGTGATTTAAAAATGAACTTGAATTTGTTGCATTTTTATGGTCTAAAAAATATTGCATCTTGTTTTTAAACTTCCTTTGCAGAGGTTTGATCTTTTTTCAAGAATTGCCTGTCTTGTTTCAGTCCTTTGATAATTAATATTAGCATGTTATGGCAGGAAAAGTTGAGCAAATTAGCAACTCTATTTAGGCTTCCAGTATGTTTTGTCTGACAATACACTGATGCGTGCCGAACTTTAATGACAGCACAGCTTTAATATGTAGCTGATTACAGTGCAGTGCACAACACCTTCCAGCTGTGCAGTAATTGGTAAGTTCGGGACTTTCCCATGCAAGGTGTGTTTCAGATTGTTTGGAAATAATAAGATAGAAAAGGTAATCTAATGTCAGAAACCATAAAACTACTTCAAAATTGAAGGCATACAGACAGATCAAGCTGGTGCTTATCTTTAGTACCGTTCTACCACACAATAAGCAGCTCTCACTGCTCCGTTTCTATATCTTATAACATTACATCATTACAATTGGTAATGTTTTTAAAATGAGTGACGCATACAATGTGAAGCACTGTTGTGAGCATGTATGTAGGGCAGACTGCTCGGCATAGCTTGTAAAGAAGCAAGAGACCAACAGAGAGCAGTAGTGAGTCACATTCAGTTTTAATAATGAGGAAAAAGTCCCTTCTGATTGAGATGGGGTTTTTTTCTGACAAATATTGTATCTTGATTCATTGAATACTTGTTTAACAAAGTCAGCTTATCATAATTAATACGTTATGTCATGTCATTCAGAAAGGATCAGTTTGCCATGACCCATTTTCATGGAAAAATAACATGTTAAATTTTTACAAAAACATGTATACGAACAGACACCACAACAACTCATTAAAATCAAATGGACGGATTGAGATTGTTATCCGTGTCCTTGTTAAGTTATCATTTTCATACAGATGACATGCCTTCAATTTTAAAAGAGGGCGGTGAAAACACATCATGCGCTACATTCATGTACACTCTGTAATATTCCACGTCACTATCTAAAACTGCATAGTTTATACAAAATTACGTTTGAGGGTGTTTTTCTGAATTAAAAAGCAATCCTGCAGGTGCAAACAAACGAAAATAGATAAGAAAAAGATATGTTGGGGACGCCATTGTGAACTTACTCTTTAGGATTTCCCTTTTGTTATATGTCGCTAAATAAGGATTCAAATTAAACAGAATGAAATAAAAACAATATATATAAAATGTATAATTAATGGAATATAAATAGTAACTCTTATAGGAAAAATGTACCTGGGTCTGAAATTAGCAAGTTATTCTAGGGTTTTTTTTTAAGTCTTATTTCTAAGCACCGACATCTCAGTTTTACCGGACTTCTCATTAGATCTTGAACGCAGCATTGATCCCAGTCCGGGCGGGGAGGACCTGTGGGGGGATTTCAGTCCTGCCTCTCCAGTCACGCGTGTAGAGAGAGTCGTGTAGTGGGGTGAACACAAACAGACGAATTTCACCGACCTGTTGCGAAGAATGTGACCGCAAACTTCTTGTTTTTAAAATCATAGAACCTCGTCTCCAAACTTTGGCACATTTTTTAACCGTGTCGTTAAAGAAGTCATGGAGCCGATAACGAAGTGGACGCCAAAGCAAGTTTTAGACTGGATGAAAGGTAAGGGAGCACTTTGTGTGTTGCGTTAATTTCCTTTTTTTTTGTTGTTGTTGACAGAAACAATAGTCAATTAACGACATTGCTTCTCCTTAAAAGTTTTTTGTGTCTGAACTCCGATTCGCTCCTCAGTTATCTCGGGTTGGTTTCATAGAAACTGCTCCTGTGTGTCAACATACCTCAAGCGACTCACATAACAATAGGACTGTATGTCTTTTACTCTCACTAAACAGATGTTAGAAGTTGAGCTATATTTGATACGCCTGCTTTACGGATAACCTTTTTGAATTATTGAACTTTTCGCTCTGGGTGACAGGCATAAGATGACTTCAGCACTGTGGCGTGGGTGACGAAGTGTTGTAGACTCGTCTAACATTTAATATGTGGAAAAAAAAACACGAAGTCACGAAACACTTTCCTATGTCGTGTTCCCCCTGGGTCTTTACCTAAAACCAGTTTCGTTGTGTAACCGAACAGGTGAGGAACAACAGTGAACAATAAAAAAAAAAAAAAAAAGATCACTGACTCATAAGTAGGCTTCACTTTAATTAAGTAACACTGATGTGTAACCAGTAGTCTACTCATTATCATGTAAACCGCAAGTTTACATTCACTGCCGTGGTTTTTTTCTTCTAAAGGAATGAATCCCATCAATCATTTTTGCAGCCTGGTGTTTTTGTGCTTTGTAGTTTCTGACACCCATAAAAGCAATACCAAGTTTCAGACCCTGACAGGAATGCTCACTATGGTAATGCCATCATTTGCTATCTCTGAGTCAGTCACAGCATTGGTATTTCCAGTGAGGGACACCAAATGGTATGTGAAGTATGGCTGGACATTTTTAGAGTGTTTGTCGTTTCCAACACTTAAAAAACTAAAGTGTGTGTGTGTGTGTGTGTATTGTACGGCTTAAAGAGTTATGGGTTGTGTACGTGGCCGGCAAAGAGACAAAGTTGTTTATCATTACTGTCAGGAAGATTTGGAAAACTTCCCCAAGCTTAATGTAGGTGACTTCCTCCCACAGTTAGTGTCTGGGGTCAAGCTGCTTTTGAAAATATTTGGCTCCATAACAGTGATGTAGTGCCATATCTGCTGATTGAGGCATGCCCGCCAGTGCTCATTCATAGCGGGGAGCTATAGGGGGATTGTGGAGGGGTTAGTTTCAGTGTGTCCAGTGAAAAGGGCTCAGCCAGGGCACGCATGCATAGAGGATTAGTTGTCTACACAGGCCCCCGTTGCTGTCAGTCTTGTTCAAATCTGACTCAGCAGTTGTCTCTGTAGGTTTTAACCAATGGATTTGCAGACCTTACAAACACTGTAGAGGTGAACTGACTAACTGAAATGACAACGGGCCAGTCAAAAGGATATTTCATAAATCCCTTTACACATACAAACCCAGGTCATGAGCAAGGGGTGACATCAACAACATGTCATCTATTTGTTGCTGGACAACATTACGATGTATTTTAACTTTAAAAGTGGAGACTGCGAAAACAGGTGACGCAGCCTTTTAAAGTAATCTACTCAAGGTAACTTTCCTTTTATTGTGGTTTTGCAAGGCTAACTAGTCATTTGCTTTGGTCAGAGGCGTTTCACATGGGAATAATAAACTACCAATAATTTGCAAGAAGTTTGTTCTGCCTTTCAGCAGCAAGAGCCACAACACAAATAGAGCTCTTAACTTAGAATGCAAACTACAGCGTTGCTTGGTGTCATCTTTGCAAACCATTTCACATGTTCCTGACTTCCACAGGTTGGGCCAACTTCCAAATACTGAGTTGGTTAAGTCTTAATGAATGTTTTAATGTGTAATATCTTGAGGTAAACCCAATGTGTGCAAGTCAACCTAAATATAATATATTTGTCCTTAACAGAGGAAATGTTCTGTATTCGGTAAACGTTTCACTCTCAGGTCTAACATGTTTGTGTTTAACTACAACAGAGTACCAGTACATTGCCAAGAACAGGCTGAATTTCTTATCAGTGTCTATGACAAAGAAAACACATTGTGCTGTCTTCATACACAGTCAACAGCAACAATGTACTCACTGATGGCTGAAGAACCACCTGTTTAATCCTTTCATACCAACGACAAGCAGCATCAAAGCAAAGTAGAACCCATGCCAGGAGCAGGGTCATGGCCTAATGTTGACCTGTTTACACCAGTGACAAACACGGTTGTTTCCAGAGTTGCTGCGCCTGCATGACAAAAGTGAAATTAAACTCCCAGAAAGCACCCCAAGGCCTGCGACCTCATTTGGCTCAGGTTGTTGTCCTCAGAAGCACAGGGACTGTTTTTGTGTATTGAGGCAGTTGTTAATGACTTGCATCCATTGTTCAAGGAGATCAAACAGTGGTTGGTGGATGTTTATTGCCAGGGAAAGGGCATTTGGTTCTTTCAATTTAAACACTGTTTTTTTTTGTGTGGGGACTAAAGATACCCTGAGGCATATTTCCTTCACCACAAACTCTGATCTTCCAGCTGGACCAGTGTTCATGCGATTAGTATTCCATATGTCACGTGCGGGACTACTTAACCTGGGGGACACATGCGCTCTTCTAATGACAGTACAGATGTCACTGTTCTGCAAGTAATTTGATTACACAATTTAATTAAGGGTATATTTGAGGACCTCTATCCAGTGATGTTAATTAGTGACCCACATGTTAGCAAAGTCAAAGAATGAAGTCATTTGCCAAATGTGGTCCTGAATCCACATGGGCAGTGCTTCAGCTGAGAAGGGGGTTGCACTATCTAAGAATGTTTTTCTCTCTTACTCAGCTGAGTAGTTTCTCATTTACCAAATACATTTTCTTTCGCTTATTGTCCATCCTACTGCCAGGTTTAAACAAGACATCCCAGACATGCAAACCTGCACTGCTACTGTCTTACTCGGTGCCTTTTTTTTTTTCCTAATTTCTTTTACAAGTCCGGACTGCAGTTCCTGACACACCGCCTGTCCTCCAGCAGCAACTTTCTAAACTTGAATACTGGCTCATCATATTTCAAAGTTCCTAATACGGACATATATTTGGTGTTTGTATTTTTGATGATGGGAGTTATTTTGAGCAAGAGTTGTACTTATGTAGGGACTTTCATTAATCTCACACCCCTTATTGACAAAAGGGCCAGTTTGGCACACATCTATTCATAGAATGCCTCTAATTAGCTTATCTGTGATGCTATGGAGCTACAGGAGCACATGTGTGCTTAAGTGTGACCATTTCCCATAACAACATATCTGATATGAACGGTCAGATATAGGTCAAACACTTTATCCTACAGCTGTTTAGATGGAAACTTAAGAATTGCAATAAATGTGTGTGAGACTTCATCCTCGTTCTCAGGTTGCACCAAAGTGTCAAGATGATAATTAGCGCGTCAGAGAAGTGTCACACCTGTGCTTAATGTGCTTTTATGTGTGGGCAATGATGGTCCATGATCCTTATCAGGCTAAAACAGAGACTTCCTTAACTGGAGTGTGAACAGACGTGCAGACCCTTATTAAGGCATCCAACGCCTATGCTAAGTGTTGCTCAATCGGAACTAGTGGAGTTCTATGTTTGGATTGATACCACAGGCCTGATTAATCCACTTCAGCTAACCTACGATTGTAGACTGTGTGGATATGCATCAGAGAGGACAGGTGTTAAATGAATCCAAATACAATCTTTAGGAACAGCGGAAATCTGTTTACCCTATCTAGTGGCCTCATGTGCAGGGAAGTAACAAATTGGAATCATTATTCAATTCTTTCTTTGTCCTCCCTTAGAGTGAAAACTCCTGTTTTTGCCATTTACCAGTTTCCAGTTATTTAGCTTTTAAAAGCAACCCTTTGTGTTCAGTTGATTAAACAGATAACCATTTTACCTTTCCATAGAAAAGGACCTCTAGAGTTCAGGGGAAGTGCTGTAAGAGGATTCCCTCTGGGGAGAGGTGACTGAAAGGGATTGGCGTGGTGTTGTTCCTGTCGGCCCCTCCATGGCCTGTTTCTCACACGGCCTGGTGTCCAAGTCTTATAGCCTCAGGAGCCGTACCATATGGAGACTTCTGGAGAAATAATCAATAGTTAATGTGACTGTTTTAAAATGATGATGAGGAGACAAAGACAAAGCTAGATTCTGTGTTTTGATAAATGTAAAGGTCTTCACGTTGCGCTTGAAAGCTGTCCCTCATTTCAGGCTGCGAGACAGGGCTTCAGCTTTGATACAGTGTGTTGCTAGTTCCAGCTAATAATCTGTTTTGTGTTCATAGCTTTACAGGGGGGAGGATTTTAATCAGTAATCCAAAATCAGTTTGCATTTGCATGAATATCCAACGGTTCATCTCTTAGTGCCATGAGAGGAGAGTGTCCCCTCATATGCCTGCCAGCCTGCATTAGACCAGTTTGCTTTTCATTCAAATCTAAAATGTACATTGCAAATCTCCCAGATGATCTCAGCTTAGCAGGATCTGCAAGCTATTTGGCTCCGCTCCCAAAGAGACTTGGCCTGTAAGGTGCTATGCTTAAGCCATGCGAATAAAAACTCAGACCTTAGGTGGTACAGCGGCTACAGCAGCCAACTTGGATCACATGCTGACTGACCTCTCGTGCAGGGATGTCAAGTGCGTGTCCTTAGCTACTCTCACTGCTTTATTGAGCCTGAAGGCTCACACTTGCAGTCATGCAATTCGAGTCTTACCAATATATTAACGTCTCAAATCGCTACCACGCCAGAGCCAGAGTGTGTGAGGATTCTTACTGGTGGAGGGGAGAAATAAAGCAGTCGATGGCTCGGTTGGCATTGCTATCTAAGCACTGCTAACACATTAATGCTCAGATAACCCCAGAACATGACAAGAATGCAGTCAACAGTTTTTTCCCCCTATCAAACCCAAGCACCTCTGGGAATGGGCAGTAAAAACAGGTCACACATGTCCTTTGTGGAATTTGGAGCCAGCAGTTTCTTTTAACAGATCTAAAACGCCTAACTGTGTGGATATGGTCACCTCAATGACCATATACATACAAAGCTGTTTAATCCTGCCACCAGCTTATACTTCAATGTAGTGTAATGTCATTATGATTATGAAGGGATCTTTAGTTGTACTGTCACCCACTTTTTTTTTTTTTTTAAGCAGGAACTTGGGCAGATGCCAGATCAGAGCTTGTTCATGTTCAGACTAGTCCAGATTTTCCCAGTCCTCCACACTGAGTGACTGAATTCCTTTCAAGTTATTCACACAGTTTTACAATGACTGTCCCCATAGGAAACGCAGACTCAAGTTCAATTTTAAGAGAATATCCTGACCTCCCCTTTTTTCCCCTGTCCAATCCATTTAGATTTGCAGGATAGCATTATTAAGCTAACACATTTGGAATCCATGTTACTGTATGTTAGGCCTGCCTCAATGCAAATGTTCTTGTTTTGACTTGCTGTGACGTGCCTGAGTCAGTCAACACTCTTGTTGTCTTGTTCCATTAGAGAGTGCTGAAAGACAAGGCAGCTGTCATGTGTTAGCCTTTGTTTGCACAGCATTGGTGGTGCATTGATGAACCCTGAGATGCTATCAGCATGGCTCTGTGAACCCTGAATGGATAGATGGGGTGAAAAGTGTAGTACCAGGAAACTAAAGGACACCTGTATAAGTAAAGGGAAGTTCCAACCCTTTCTTTGTGGTTATTTTCATCTGTAATTTTCCATGCCGCTCTACAGAACACAAAACTGCAAACGAATCTATTATGGAAAGTTCATAATACTGATACAAGGACACAACTCTCACAATCACATGATTTTTTTCTTTTTTTTTCCTGAATGTCTAGTTAAGATCCCACAAGCTCAGAGCAGTAAGGTCATGTAAACTGGGCCTTACTGACCTATTTCTCTTATTTATCTTCACCTGGAAATCCCAACCATGGGGGCCATACATGAGAAGAACAATCCAATTTATTGCTTTCATTCCTATTCTCTCCCAACAGTAACATACATTGCAGGTTACTCCTGACTACAGGCCAAGCATGAAAGATCCAGCCTGACCTGCTTTGTCATTTTGGAATCGGTTTGCAATCTCTGAAACTACTGAAACTAAAAATTGTCTAGGTTTGTTGTCGATGCTGGATCGAAGATTTTTTTCTCTTACCAAATCTTGAGTCTCAACTCAGGGCTTAAAGCACCAGAAAGTTGACAAAACAAATGTGTTCCATTGAACTTGATTCAGTAGGTGTCAACAAAGGATATTAGAGCAAACCCAGGGTTTCAATTTGTTGAAGCAGGGAGTGGTACCTCCTGTTTGAGGATATTCCAGACCAGAGAAACAATCATGGGAGATTCTGTTGATCCTTCCTTTTGTTCTCATTAGTACAACCACCTGGGAAAATCCTCTCACGTGCTCTTCATCTCTGTTTGTATGTGGCTCACTTTCCAGAGAACAGCACATTCATTATTTATAGGATCATGACTGTCCCTTTTACGATATGCACCGTTGATCAGGGAGAGCCAGCTAACAGGTGCCTGCAGGAGGATGAACAAATATCACCTGCAGATGTGAGGAGACTTTCCTTGTGTTCTTTGTGTGTTCACGATGCATCTGTCACTGGTTTGGAGCATTAAGATAAAACGAGAGGGACTCATCCTTAAACACCAACACAGAGAGTCGGTAAAGTAACGGCACAACAACATGTCGCGTGTGAATGTGTGTCTCAATAAGTGCGTCATATATGTCCCATGTCATGGCCTGCAGGTGACACACTGCCTTTCATTGAAACTGACTCAACCTCAACTATCCGCACCCATCGCTGCAGGGCGAACGGTATCAGTTGCCCAAGGCCTGTAGGCTGCCTAGTGATGTCTTCTACTACATAATGAATCCAAGTGTTTTTCATTTTCTCTCCTTACTGTCGTATTACAAGAATTTAGTCATTGGGAATTTTAAGGGACAGCTAATGATCTATGTTTTTTTATTGACTATGGATCTTGTTGGGAACATGTGCATTTTTGTGGTTTGTTCTTCTTCTATAAAGAGATAGATGATGTTCATTTTGACTTGTGTCCTCCTCTTCTGACCCTCAACACAAGCCACTTGTAAATCCTTGGATTTTGACAGTCACCGTCTCCTCTTTCTCTCCCTAATTCACCCTCCTCCAACTGCCTCTAACCCCAATCCCCCCCCATCATCCCCCAACCTTTCCCTATTTCCCGTCACCATAGAAACCTCCCTTTTATTTACAGAGTCAGTCGTTGCTTCAGCTCTTCATTGTGAAGAGGGGGTTAACACCAGTTGCACTTAGCGCTACCACAACGAAGTGCTCTTGCTGGCTTTAGCCTTGGAAGAAATCAGGCAACAAGCTCAGATTTGTATATTGGAAACCAAGCTAGGGAATTGGCCCTGCCAGGACCTGCTGTTGGATGTGATCGGGAAATCATCTGCTTGGCTACGCAGTGACTTGATTTACGAGGTGTTGCTGTAGATTTAATCTAGCTGGCTCTTGGAGATGCTCATGGTAATCCACATAGGAGCAAGTACTACACTCAACCATACAGTTATCAAAGACAAGAAACTCATTATAATTCAACATTGTAGCATATGCAAAGATAAGTTTCATCTCTGCAAGAAAACTATGGTCACATGCAAAGTTTCTATAAGAGCACACTTTTCCCACGGCACTAAATGAGTGGGGCTCGTTTCCTCCCAAAACCTTGTTCATCTTTATTGTGGTTTCCATAGGCAACTATTATGTTGCTAGTAAACTGCTCTGTAATCAGTACGCTGGGCCACCCTGATCATACGACGTACAAGTGGATGGGTAAGGGCAGTAAACAGAATTCCCTGTGCCTTCTATAGCCTGTTTATGTCTCAGTGGTTTTGACTTTGAACTAGGGGCTGGGGCTAAGAAGGGAACTTCACTTCTCAAAAGTGGTAATTTTCTTCTTTGTCTCTCCTTGTATTTTTCTGTCAATGCCCTTTGTTCCCAAGCTTTTAGCCTCTCTCCCTCTATCTCTTTGTCTTTGCAAAGAACAACAGTCTTAAATTATAGTTCTCCTGTGGAAATAATGTATACATTGTAACAAAGTGAGTATTTTAGAAATCCTGTTGATACACAAACACCAGAGTCTGTTGAGCAACATCCCATCTGACTCCTGGGCCACACAGAGTTTTGGCCCTTGCTTTTCTTCTTCTTTTCTGTAGTTATTTGATTTAAACTGGGAAGAACAAAGACAATTCCCATCCCAGAACTCCCACTCTATAGCATTGTGCAGTTTCAAGACTGTGACTATCCTGGAAAACTTGTCAACAGGCGGAGCCACAACAATATGACCTGGAGGGGCCAGAAAAAGACAAAGATTGTGGTGGGTGAAATAGCAGAGAATACAGAGCAGAGAAGTGAAGGAGGAGTGGAGACTTAGACTTTTGTGGCCCTTGTCCTTTCTTTAGTGGGTGTTTATGCTAGTGGTAACAAGCTGCAGCGTGGCTGGGCGGCCCAGTGGCTGGAGAGCTAGGAGTGTTTGTGTTGGCCTGAGAGGGTTGCTCTAGTCACAACCCCTGTCCCTGTCAAACACTCAAGAGCCATGCAGCTACACTTACCTGCACATACTGTTCCTGATACCGTCTCAGGTCTTTTGCAGGAATGATAAGCTGCTTTTCACACATGCACTCCTGACAATTTCTAGAAAATGTCATTGAAATTTTCAAAATTATCCCTGAAATCTTCCCGATTTGTTTATTCACATATATCGGAAACAGTAGTTTCCCCTGTCAGACTGGAGGGGGAAGAGGAGCTCAGGAGGCAAGACATGACATAAAAAGCCGTGCCGAAATCCAGGATGGACTTTCATACATCGACTCAGCCAGACTTCACACGGAAGTTTTACTTTAGGGGGCTCGAATGAAAGTCAGCAGTTTTGTGCATGAATGAAAACATCAATTGCCTTACACAAGCAGCTTTACAAACCTACTCTTGATTATTCCTCTTCTGATATACCACTGAATAAATCAAACATCTGCATGTACTACCAGCAGTTGTAAATATAAGAGACTGAATACTCTAGGAACATGTTTATGCAGTTCGGTATCTGTAACTATTTCGGATTGAGCATGTCTCTGGCTTACAGGATATGAGCTGTGTGTTCTATTGGCATTTGTTGGGCTAACTCAAGCTAGCCGAGAAGCCTTAATTTGAAGGCGGAACAATTTCAAAAGACACAGACGATGAGGAAGGACTGTTTCTTTTGTCGAACTGAACTACAGAGAAAGTGGTTGTAGATTATGATCCACGTTTCTGTCTTGAGAAATTGTCGTTTTAAAATGCTGTTTACTCCACACCTCCATCTCAAGACTCACTAATGCGCCCGCAGCAGTCTGCTTCATCTGTTTCTGGTGTCTGTTCTTGCTCCATCTTGTTATTCCTCAATCCTCTGATCTGCTTGTAGCCAAAAGTCATCATGTATCAGGCCATGCGACAGCCCAAACACTTCTCTTAACCTCCTGCAACGCCTCCAGAAGCAACCTCTCACCTTTCTCCAGTCAATATTAACCAAGCGATCCGACCCGCCTGAGCTCAAACTTTAAAATCTGACGTTGTGTTTGGGATGGAAAGCTGCTGAGGTGAGGATTAACTGAGCCCAGGG